TAATACTTCCATTAATTAAAAAAAGGACTTCATTCCTTTTAGTGAACTTCTTAAAGCTGAACTGCTTCCCTATAAGATGGTGTACATGGTGGAAATTTTATAAAATAGCTGTGTATTAAGGAGGTTTTTTTTTTTAAATTTTGATACTTCTGTCAATTTTTATCCAAATCTAGTTCTGACTTTCAGAACTGAAGTTTCTATTGCAAGAATTAAATGTATCAGGTTTAGATACATGTTTTCCTCTGCAATGCTCAGGTTGGGCTACATGCTAAAAACATCTACATTCTCAGGGTACCTGAGAGAATATTATTCCACTTTGACAATTATTCATTTATTTCACTAAATTTGTTGAGCACTATCAATTTTCTGCCATTTTGTATCTTTCGGAATGGGCAAACCTAACGTAATTTGAATAGGGTATTAGAAGATTAGGGAGCTTATCCCAAAGAATGGGATTTCTAAATTGAGATCTGAAACAGGAGCAGTAGTTAGGCTGGTGAAGTGGACAATCCAAACCTAGATAAAAGCATGGGTAAAGGCAAATGAGAGTGTGGTTCTTTGGGGAATTACAATGTGTCTGAGAGATTGGGGCAGAAACCTAACAGATGTACCTGAAGGTATAAACCAAGGCCTGTATGGTATGCAAAAATCTTTGAACATTATGCAGCAGCACTGGAGAACCATTGAAGGGGTTTAAACTATGAAATATATTTGTGCTTTAGGAAGATCATTTGCAGTATGCGGAGATATAAGCTGGGAGCAAGACCAAAATCAAAAAGGCCAATGAAAATGCTGTTACCATTATCCAGAAAAGAGATGACGGTAGCCAGGGCTCAAATAGCGGTAGTGGGAATGAAAGTGATTTGACAGATTCAAAATAATTCTAGGAGGTAAAAAATTATGGAGTTGGAGGGTGAAGAAGAATAAGGGTTTATGATGACATTCTTGTTCTGAGTTGTACATTGATAATAGTGTTACCATTTCAGGAAAACTGAGAAAAGGTTGGATGATAAATATGAATTCAACTTTTGGACATACTTGGTTTGAAATATCTGTGGAAACTTAGTGGAGAGGCTTTGAATGCAGAAGGAGATAGGGAAAGGGATTGAAGAACTTCAGTGAACAGAATCATACAGGGAGAATGTAGCCTAAGAATTAAACAGGGCCAGGAGAAAATCCCAGAGAAGAGCTCCGAGACTTACGGGGCTGAGAAGGAAAGAAGAGACATTGAAAGAGATTGTAGTGTAGTCTAGAGCTCAGAGAAGAAACAAAAGAGTATAATGAAACAAAATCCAAAAGAAACAAGCCTTTCAAGGAGGAAGGAGTGGACAACAGTGTATAATACTGTAAAGGAGTCAAGTGAGATAAGAACTTTAAAAAGTCACAAAGATTTAGCAGTATTGGTGATCTTGAAAGATTCCAGTGAAGTGGTGTGCAAAGGAAGCCATACTGCAGTGGGCCAGCAAAAATGGGAGGTAAATCAGAGACTGAGCTTTGTTAGTATTTTAAGAAGCTTATCTGATGAGGGAAGGAGAGAGAGAAGCTTAATTGGAGGGGAAGGTGGGGACAAAGGGGATTAAGGGATTTCCTTTTTTTGTTTGTTTGTTTTTTTCTTTTGGTTTTTAAAATGAGAAAGACTTAAGAATATAAAAAAAAAAAAAAGCTGGAAAGGAGCCATTTTTGAGTAGGACTGAAAACACAGGAGAAAAGGGAAAGTTGATGGAGAGACCCCAGAGTAAATGGAAGTGTGAAGATCCAGAGCACAGTTGAGGGTGTTGGGCTTAGGAGAAGGGGTATTTCTTTAATTGTGATAAGTAAGAAAGGTACATTTGCATATATATCACCACACACATGCTTGCTCATACCTGTTCAAAATGGAGCCTGATTTCAGGTAAGAGCAAAGGCAATGAAAATTGGGAAGCCAACACAATTTTTTTTTAAAAAAAAAGAAAGAAAGAAAAATAAATAAATAAAAATAAGGTGTGATTCTGAAGTTGAGTGGGAAATATGAGATGTGAGAATAAGATGGAAGCTGGTGATACCTAGTCCTCTAGGGAGCCAGCTCCATGAGGTAAGGAATAATGCCTATCTAGTTTACTACCAGCAGCCAGTACAGTGCTAGGCATAGAGTAGGATCTACTTGATAGTGTAGAACAGGGAGTACCAATATCTAAAGGAATTTTTAAAGGATCCTGAAAGGGTTCGCTCTAAGTATGGTTCCCAAAGTCCTGCAGAGAAGAGAGTTTTAAGACAAAGGAAATGGCCGGTATAGTTAAATTCAGCATAGAAGTCAATGAAGATAAAGTATAAAGGCATTTGTTAGATAAGAGAGTTTAAGGCTTTAATAAGGACAATTTCAATTTGTCAGAATCAACTTACTGTAAATTAAGAATGGAAGTAGAGAAAAGGAGTAAACTTAAAGAATTTTTGTTGACAAATTTTTTGTAGTGTCAAAGACAAAATATTGGAAGGATGAAGAATTTGTCCCTAAATCTTCTTATATCTCATACAGTATATTGAATTAGAAGACACCAACCTGTAAATTATGGGGGGGGGGATGACCTATAGTTTAGAAGATACTTAACAAATATATAAATCTGTACACCTATTAAAAAAAAAAAAAAAGTTATCCCTTTTGAAATTAGGGTAGAAACAAAAAGGGCAAGGGAAAAATATTTGCACTGATGATAACAGATAAAGGGTTATGAATGGTTATTTGACAGCAAAAAGGGAAATACTATAAACTGGTAGAGAAACGAGGAAAATAAATAAGATATTTCACAATATATAACCTGTTGTTGTTATTGTAGTGTGCCATCAAGTTGACTCTGCCTCATAGTGACCCCATCTGACAAAGTAGAACTGCCCCCATAGGGTTTCCTAGGCTATAATCTTTACAGGAGCAGATCGCCAGGTCTTTTCTCCCATGGAGAGGCTGGTGGGTTTGAACCATCAAACTTTGGATTAGAAGCCGAGCACTTAACCATTGTTCCACCAGGGCTTCTTATACAACCTATGATTATTAAATAATCAGACAGAATAATGTTCAATATCTGTATCAGTAAAGATACATAAATTAAAACCATAATTAGAGAATATTGTTCTCTTAAATTATTGACAACTTCAAAATATTTAAAATCAATGTTGAACAGGGATTCAGTGAAATGAAAAACCTCATACAACATGTGGTTAATTGGTGAAAACTTTTTTTTTTAATTTTATTTATTGTACTTTAGATGAAGGTTTACAGAACAAATAGTTTCTCATTAAACAGTCAGTACACATATTGTTTTATGACATCGGTTAACAACCCCACAACATGTCAACACACTCCCTTCTTGACCTTGAGGACCTTTTTTTTGGTGAAAATATACATAGCCAAAGTTATACCATTTCGAAAGTTTCTACATGTACAATTCAGTGACATCGATTAATTCTTCCAGTTGTACTGCTGTTCTTACTATCCTTTTCCAAATTATTCCACCACCATTGTCTTCAACACACTATCCCCTAGGCTTCCCATCAAACCTTTTGAGTTGCTGTTGTCAATTTGATCTCACATAGATTTTCTTTTATTTTTTTGTACCTTAGATGAAGGTTTGCAGAACAGTTTCTTATTAAACAGTTAGTATACATATTGCCCTATGGCAGTGGTTAACAACCCCATGATATGTCAACACTCTCCCTTCTCAACCTTGGGTTCCCTATCACCAGCTTTCCTGTCCCCTCCTACCTTCTAGTCCTTGTCCCTGGACTGCTATGCCTCATTAGTACTGTTGTGTTTTATGAGGCTGTCCAATCCCTGGCTGAACAGTGAACTTCGGGACTGACTTTACCACTGAGCTAAAAGGGTGTCTGGGGGCCATACTCTCGGGGTTTCTCCAATCTGTCAGGCCAGTAAATCTGGTCTTTTTTGTGTGTGAGTTAGAATTCTGCTCTACATCCTTTTCCAGCTTTGTTCAGGACCCTCTATTGTGATCCCGATCAGAGCAGTCAGTGGTGGTAGCCGGGCACCATCTAGCTGTACTTGACTCAGTCTGGTGAAGGCTGTGGTAGCTGTGGTCCATTAGTCCTTTGGACTAATCTTTTCTTTGTCTATCTTGTTCTCTTCATTCTCCCTTGCTCCCGAAGGGGTGAGACCAGTGGAGTATCTTAGATGGCTGCTCACAGGCTTTTAAGACCCCAGATGCTACTCACCAAGGTAGAATGTAGAACATTGTCTTTGTAAACTGTGTTATGCCAATTGAGCTAGATGTTCCCCGAGACCATGGTCCCCACAGCCCTCTGCCCAGCAATTCAGTCCCTCAGGAAGTTTGGAAGTGTCTATGGAGTTTCCATCATCTTTCCTTGTACAAGTTGTGCTGGCTTCCCCGGTAATGTGTACTGTCTTACCCTTAATTGGTGAAAACTTTTAAAAACTAATTGACAATAGAGATTATATCAAGTGCCTAAAATATTAATATCTTTAGATATTTTAATTCCACTTGAAGAAAATGGATTAATTAAATAACTAAAAATCTGTTGTGTAGCAAGTTGGTAAATAATAGTGTACAACCTTTAAAACTATGTTTAAGATGATATTTCAGTTGCTTCTTGGCCTTTTGACAAAGATCAAGTGTAGATGAGATTTCCATTACAAACAATGCATTTGTTATAATACTAGCTGAAAAGTAAAATATATAGACTACATAGGATTATGTAAACTAAAAACAACTATTAAAAAATGCGTTAAAATGTTATCCAGTCATGGTATTCGAATAGTGGGATTTTTATGGATTTTCTTTCACTTTTTCTTTATTTTTTAAACTGTCTATAAAGAGGAAGTTTTATTTGTGTAATACAAAAAAAAAGAAAAAACTTTAACAGAGTTTGTTTAAAGAATATAACCTAAAGTTTTGTTTTGAAGTAAAGGAGCATATATATTAGTAGCTAGAGGACAGCAGGAATCAGACTAAGACTTGTTTTTTTAGGTTGATAATACAGGAAATTGCTGAAGCAAGACCGAGAAGTAGGATAGGACAGTAGGTAAAGAATTTAGTGTTCTGCAGGCATGAAAGTGATGCTCCTTCTAAAACTGAAAGGTGGGATTTTTTGGGCAGCCTGGCTTGAAACTGATAAGCATCTGTTAATAATCTGTTATTGTTGTTAGTACCCATCAAGTTGGTTCCAACTCATGGCGACCCTATACAAAACAGAACAAAACACTGCTTTGTCCTATGTCATCCTCACAGTTGTTGCTATGTTTGAGCCCTTCGTTGCAGCCATTGTATTGACCCATTTCATTGAGGGTCTTCCATTTTTTCACTGACCTTCTACTTTACCAAGCAAGATGTCCTTCTCCAGG